TCCAAAATAGCTTTGCCGTCCGCGTCCATCACATAATACGTCAAAGGGTTGTTTGTGGTTATGAGTACCGGTAGGCGTTCCAGCCGTTCATCCTTCTGATGTTTGACATGTATATCAAAAGGGTTTCCTCCCAACAATTCTTTGAAATCATTAACCGTGAGTTGGGTAATCCTCGGTTCTTCCATCAATGCCAATGTCTTGTTCAATAGGTTCATCAGGAAGAACTGGCTATGGTCCCCAGATCGTTGTACAGTTCCATACACGTAATTTTCAGCGACCAGTTTGACAAACAAGGTCTTGCCGGTTGTCGTGGGTCCTTCTATTACAAATGCGTTCTTCCTCGTACACAGTTTATTCATTACGGAGGTCAAGCACACTAGTAGTTCCCGCTTGTTGATATTGTTCACTTGTATCAGCTGGTCTAACCATTCCTCTCCTAGACGGGTGTCAGCTGGATGTCGACAGGTCCGGCTGTGGTGGTTGCTGTTCAGGATCTGCTCGAAGGTCATTGTCTCCTGTTCAAGGATTATTTCCTTGCAGTAGTTTGAAATGGAATGTTCGGCAGTCTCCTTCCAGGTGGGGCCGTATTCCGCATAGATGTCATCAGTATCTTGGACGCTCAGTCTCTTGTATAATTCATTGAAACTTCTTGCGTCATAGGTGCGTACCAATTCTCTCATTAGATCCAACCTGCGTTTCCGCGTAATGTTATTATGCTTCTGTCTTGTGCTCCTCTCATCTCTGAGTAGGGTTGCACAGTCTTTTCTCTCCCGTGGTACCATGTAAAGGTCGTCCCGTAGGTGTTCCAATTTTTTCCCAATGCACATGATGGGTGTCTGGGCTGCTCGTACCAGGTAAGCGGCAAAGTGGTTCCAATTTATCACGGGTTGGACTGTGGCCATTATGTTCATGGTCTGCGACCTGTCTAGGTTGCCTGCGTCTATCAGCCGTTGGATTGTGCGTGTTTTGTTTTGCGGGCAACACTCGAATACAAATGCCTTAACCACGCAAGAAGTCGGTTGGGTCTATCAGCCTTGGATTGTGCGTGTTTTGTTTTGCGGGCAACACTCGAATACAAAGTGGTAGTGGTCTCCATGATCCACATAGAGACAGTTTGCTCTTGTTCCTCGATCAAACCTCGGTGGTTGACCCCGGTATACAAATGTCCAAAGCTTGTTATTGTCCGTCAATGATGGTTCGGGGCTAAACAACTGTCTTCTTCTTGAGTGCCACACATTAGATAAATCCAGCATTGGTGGTCGGTACTGAATGGGAGGTGTTTGAGGCACAGGTATTGTGTCCGCTTCTTGGGGGTTGGGTTGGTGAGAGGTCCA